AGTACTACTACTATCGTGTTTTGAGCAGTACTATTAACCCCTGCACACGAGGCAAATGAGCAGCACAATGGTGAAATCGTTCCATCAATTTATAATATAATACGGATTACTTTTTTGCTGAAGCAATTTTAAATGTTATTTTCCGTGCCAATCCTCCGCATAGAGTTCAGTGAAACTTGTTGGTGGAGTGAAAATTTTTCACAACACTAGGGGTTATATAGGTAATTATAGCCTCGTTTTCCATGAACGCCCCAAGTCCAGAATGGAGCGTTTCAAAAGAAGCACCGGATGGGAACCATACACTTGGCCACGCTTTCTGTCAGACGGAGCAGGGTCACTTTCGATATCACCAGAAATACCACAACGAAGACGTTGTCACAGTCCCAAGATGCGTCATCTAGTCGTCGACTCTTTGGATATAGCGATTGGAATTATCAGCACTGTGTCGCTAAGTCTCGGTTCTGCGGGTTTCGCTGTATTGGTAGTACTTCGTTCTGTTCTTTCAAAGGAGACAGTGAGCGCTATCGCTGGCGGGTGCCTTGCCGTCGCTGTCCTGAGTCGTATATCGTTATTTTGTTTGAATGGTAATGTTGGCGGGATTGTCCTGTGTGCTGTTGCACTGACCTCCTGCGTTATCGCAAGCATCTACTCGTTCCGTGAGCTCGAATCCGAGTACGGCTACTTCTGGAATGACAACGTCAACGACTCAGTTTCTGCTGCGCTTACCATAATCATCGTATTCACAGCTCTTGAACTCGGAATTGCCACAATCATTTGGTGGAAACGATCGAAGCAGACGAACGTATTCAAACATAATAACTTGTCGTGCTTGGAAGAGGAACCAATTGATGAAATAGATGTACGATATCAACGACTCCAGACACCTATTGAAGTCAACAATGATGTCCTCTCCAACCAAACTCGTACGACACAAGATACGGCCTCTCGAGAGAAGCATAAGCGTCACGGTAGCAAAGTGAATCTTTGGGATGACGATGTGATAACGACAGCGCGAATTCCAAAAGACAAGATTCTCATGGATAACCTGATCAGTCAAGGAGGGTACGGGGAGGTGTACAAAGGAACTTTCAACGGACTCTCAGTCGCAGTTAAGAGGATGTTGCCAGCACACCGCAAGAGCGTCGCCCACGTCAACAACTTCTTGGCTGAAGTCAAACTAATGGCATCACTTGACCACTCACGTATTGTTCAATTCGTGGGTGTCGCGTGGGATGCGCTTAGTGATGTTTGTGCCGTTATTGAGTTCATGGATGGTGGGGATTTGAGAGGACTGCTCACGTCGTATCATAATCACCACCATCCCGTTGGCTTCGACTGTGACAAAGTGAAGATCGCTCTGCATGTTGCGCACGCTCTCACATATCTCCATTCCTTGAGTCCTGTAGTGATCCATCGCGATCTCAAGTCGAGGAATATTCTACTCACATCGGATCTAGATGCCAAGTTGACGGACTTCGGTGTGTCTCGCGAACGTGTAGACCATACGATGACGGCTGGAGTGGGTACGTCGTTGTGGATGGCACCGGAAGTTCTCATGGGAGAACGGTACGACGACAAGGCCGATATTTTCTCGTTCGGGGTGGTGTTGTCGGAACTGGATCTGCAGGTTCTGCCTTACTCTCATGCCACTGACAGCGATGGATCAGGCCACCGTATGCGTGACTTGGCGATTCTCCAGCGGATGGCAATGGGGAAGTTGCGTGTCCAGTTTTCGTGCGACGCATTGGCGTCGATGGTCGATCTGGGGAATGCGTGTGTTTCCTTGGCCCCGAAAGACCGACCGACTGCGGCTGAAGTGCTGTACAGGCTACAGACAATTCAACGTGA